AATTTAAATATTTAAAAAAGGGAAAGGGGTCGGCCAGGTTTGGGCTACCCGTATGGGTCGAGTCGGTCGGTCTGCGCAAGCTGCGTGGGAAAAAGCCCATGGGGGTCGCAGGCTGGTGGACTTGGGCCGGCTGGGCCACTCACAGGCCCGTCCGCGTGGGGTGCACGTGTTCAGCACCTGGGGCCTATGCGCGCAGTCAGTTCTGTGTGGGCATAGAGGGTCGCATGCGTGGGTGCTCTCGACACTCGTGCACGTGGTCCGTGCAAGCATGCGTGTATGTTCAGTGAGCGTGTGGACCTCCTTGCTGGGTCGTGGGCCTCCAGTTCTTTGCGTCAAGAGAGTTGCTTGTCTTTAATTTTTCTACGGAGTATAAAAGTGCCTTAATTGCTTCACCACAGGACCTTAGAACACTAGTGGATGTGTGGGCCAAGTATCTTGTACATGTATTGCGACACATGTGTACCCTACAGGTACCCAAACCTAAACTACATTCAGGTTTTCTTTTCAGGCCAGGATTTTCAGGCCAAGTCGTTCCTTAGCAGTAAGGCCTGTTACCCTCGGGTTTCTAGCACCTTCTAATGTCGTTTTTTTCCTAGGTCGGGAACTCTGTTTAGTGGATTCGACCTTATTGTTTGATACTTGGTCGGGAATAACGTAGCTTAGAATATTGTTACCTCGCAATTGTTTTCTTTCGTTTCTTGGAAGGTCATCCACACTTGTTCACTTCTTACACCCCTCTAGTTTTAGTGTGTTTTCAGCAAGTATCGCGTCTTAAAGGTTTTATTTAATAAGAAGGGATCGATTTTAATGAAATATTCTCCTTAGTTATGAAAAACAATTCCATTGAAGTCTTATTTGTTATGGTTGCTCTTCATGATTTAAAGCTAGAGCAGTTAGAGCTAGAGTAGTTAGATGTAAAAACTGTCTTTTTATATGGTGAATTGGAGAAACAGATCTATATGAGTCAACCCGAGGGATTTTTCATTTGAGGTATGGAAAAATATGTTTGTCTACTTAAGAAATATTTATATGGTTTAAAATGGTCTGAAACAGTTGCCTAGATAATTGTACAAGAGATTTGATACATTCATAAAACAAAATAGTTTCATTCATGATGCCTATGATAATTATGTGTATCATAAGAGATTCTCATATGATTCTACTATTGATTTACTATTGTATGTAGATGACATATTTATTGCTACTAAAAACATATCACATATTGAAAATCAATTGGTTGAGGAGTTTGAGATGAAAGGTTTGGGTACTACAAAGAAGATACTAGAAATGGAGATTACTCGGGATAAAAGTGTTGGAAAACTTTTCTTGTCTCAACAATCATATGTTAAAAAAGTACTGCAGTGTTTCAATATGAGTAATGCAAAGTTCGTAATTGTTTCATTATGTACCCACTTCAAGTTATCTGCAAATATGTCACCGAAAATAAATGAAGACATAAAATAGATGTCCAGTATTCAATACTCGAGTATTATAGGTAGCATCATGTATGTCATAGTTTGTAATCGTCTTGATATTTCACATGTAGTTAGTGTAGTGAGTAGGTGTATGGTGTATTTTGTGAAACAACATTGGCAGGTAGTGACATGAATTTTAAGGTACTTAAAGGGTACAACAGATGTGAGTATGATATTTGACAAAGCTAAGATGAGTGACTCAGTTATAGGCTATGTAGATTCAGACTATGCAGGGGATTTGGATTGGAGGAGATCTTTGACAGGTTATTTGTTTACTCTATTTGGAAGTGCTATCAGCTATAAGGCAACATTGCAAGCTACAGTCGCCTTGTCTACCACAGAGGCTGAACATATGGTTTTAACAGAAGCAGTAAAAGAGGCTATTTGGTTGCAGGGTTTGTTGAGTGATCTTGGGTTAACATAGAAAAATCTGACAGTCTTTTATAATAGTCAATGTGTTATACATCTCGCTAAGAATCAGACGTATTGTGAGCGAACAAAGTATATTGATGTCAAATATCATTTCATTTGGGACATTGTATCATAGGGTATCGTAGTTGTGCAAAAAGTATCTACACAGAAAAATCTCACATATATGATGACTAAGGCAATCCTAGTTAGTAAGTTTAGACACTACTTAGACTTGGTTGGAGCAGGTACTATCCACTAGTGCCCTGAGGGGGCATCATGGCAAGACAAAATAATAAGACAGTCATTTCATTTGATGTTAAAGACAATTTAAGTTAATGAGAAGATTTATTTATGTGACTAAAATTATAGGGATATCATATTTGATCATAAGGATATTTCTGCAATTATTCTAGGGATTATTTTATGTATATTCTGGAGAAGTCTGTGAGAAAGAAATAAAAAAACTCATAATTTTCTATATATTAGCCTACTAGCCTAATGGTAATGTACTTTCAAAAATTAGCATAGCGAAAAACTTTCTTGCTGGCCTTACCCATAGATATAAGCACATTATTGAACCAAGTTAAATCTTGTGTTGTTCATTTTCTGTTTTTACTTTGTTTTGATTGTGTGCAGTTTATGGATTAATTTTTCGAACATATCTTAAGTATACATCTAGCCTTCTCGATGATAGTTTGGTTCATCTTTTCAACTATACCATTATTTTGTAGGGTGTTAAGGATTGTTTTCTTATATCTGATGTTAGTTTTGAATTATAAGCTTCAAACTGTTTTAACATGTATTTATCTCAATTTTCATTATTATTGCACTTCAACATAATATCATTCTCTCATTCTACCATGAAATAAAACATCTAGAAATACTCTCGAACTTGATCCTTTTCTTTTTAAAATAAAAACTCACACCTTTCATGAAACATCATTAATAAAGGTAAAAAAAAAATCTACTATTGCATATACTTTCAGTTTGAATGGAACTACATACATCAAAATAAACTAAATCAAGCACATTATCTTTTTTTTAAAAAATACTACTAAAAGAAACTTGATGTTATTTGCCTAGCAAATAAATATTACAAAGGTTTAGAGTCATACATTTGGCAAATGAAATGGGAGACTTTTTTTGTCAAAATCTATAACCCTTTTATCACTAGTATGAGCCAGTCTTTTATGTCAGGTGTCAAGCGAAACATCATCTTCACAATGTCTAGTTCATCATGAAGTAACCTCGTATATGTTTCCATACCATTAATTAGGTTTCATTTCTAACCACTAATATAACTTTGATAACCTTCTAAATCCAGCGCATAGGCAAACAATAAATTCAGGCTTATATTCGACATATAACGTAAATCTTTCAATGTTAATATGCAATTCGAATAAGTTTGAATACGAATTGTACCAATACCAGTTATGTTTGCATGACTAGTACTATTCATCTTTAATTTGACAAATTTTCCTGAGTTATACTTAGAAAATATATCATACTTAGGTGTAGCATGATAACATGCTCCTAAAGCAATGACTCACTCAATCTTGAAAAGTCATTTAAATATTTTGTTACGGATCACCATTCTTTAAACTTGAAGTTTATATGCCTTCTAATTGTAAAGGTTTTATTTTGAGCTTTAACTTTTTTCACAATACTTAAGCATTGACTCCATTACTAAGATGAGAATAAATATTGTACTCAACCCATTAAATAAATTTCAAACTACCTCTCTATACAAATTTTTTAAAATTATCATCATATTTTTCTCTAGGTTTTTTTTTTTTTTATAAATTTAACATAATCAAATAAATATTTATAGTACAAATAATCTCCATCATCAATTTTCAAATCAAACAACTTGTACATGATAATTATCATTAACCATGCTAATTTATCCATCTTAATTCATAAAATTGATCTCGCGTCATACACAACAAAGTTCTGATACCAAATAAATAAAAAATTTTAATTAAGTTGCAAACAATAAAAATACATGAAAATTAAAAAAAAAAACTGAAAAACACAAAATTTTATGTAAAAAATAATCGAGTCAAACTTTGAATCACATATATTATTAAAATAATAATTACAAACAATCACAAACTTAAATTTTACAATAAAAAAAAATATACTTAAAACAATCTCTCTAAACAATGTCCTATAAATCTCTTTATTTATAGATAAATATGGCAAACACAATTCTTATTATATTGTTGAATAATAAATACTTACTATTTCTGACAATGTCCAAAGAAGATTTAATTAAAAAGA